AAAACACAGACAGGAATATACTACATCAGCAAGTAAGAAATCACATATCTCCAGTAAAAAAAATTGCCTTTGATGGACTAAGCATTTTAATTCCTCTCTGAAGTAAAGAATTTCCCATGAAACGCTTAAAATAATGGAGTCTCTTTTACGTTCCATTTGAAAAAATATTTATTCATGAACAGAAAAGCACGAATTAGGATTTCACATATTTTTAGCACAACCACAATTTTCAGGTGAAAAATACTCTTCTTGAACATGACAAAACACCCACATAACTGCAGTACCAGGTAACTACTTTAAACTAAGTACATGTTCTGGCTTGAAAGTATGAGTGTGCACATGCATTCAAAACAAAACCCAAAACCCAACAAAACCAAACAACTGGAATGATGTTTGCATGTGCAGGCTTTCAGACACAAGTTGGTAATGCTGCCTTAACATTGATATATGACCTTAGTAAGTTACAATGAAGAAGGCTGTTTTTTTCAGCCTAATTAGAACTGTTTCAAATTTTCCTGCTAAATATTTGATAGAAAGTCCTTTCAACTTTTTTTATTATTATTATTCTAGAGTTTCTTTCCATGTCAACCTTGTTCCAATCAAAATATGTTTTGAATTAAATTATTTTGATTCAATATGTGGATCACATTTCACTTCTAAGATTTAAAGTCCGAAAAGGAAAAGTTTAGGCTGTTCAAACAAAGCAAACGTAGCCACTTTGCGGAAAGCTATTCACATTTACCAAGACTGACAAATTGTTTGTGTGCACCATTAGGTCTAGTTTCTGCAATAGTTGCCAGATTTCCTGTCCTCCTAATAACACATTAACTCTTGAAGTGCTGGCTTTATCTTTTGAGGTTTCTTAGTAACCTCCAGTTATTTAAAAGTAAATTACCAAACACACTTTTACCAGCAACACCGTTTGATCACATGGGTAGACATCTGAGAAAAAAGATGTATAAAAAGTGATTAGAAAGATATTGAACTCGAGCCTGCCTTGAAGATATCAGAAGGAAGAGGACAGCAGACGTTGTAAGAAGAAAACTCAGAGTTCTGCATGAGGTAATTCAAATTTCAAAAGGATGAAACAGACATCAAAGCTGTTTACGT